GTTTCAGAGGCAGGATATTTGCATAACCAGTTGAAACTGAACATGTTTGCAAGTCGCACCCAAAAGTACTAAAAAATGAACCCAGCTGCTTTGGTAATCTGGGTACAGGTACTCAACTAGAAGTCAATGGAAAATCAAAAGTACAGTACCAAAAGTACTGTAACTGGTTCAATGGAAAAATGTTCATAATTAATTGAAATTGATTTTGGAATGAAAACCTACCATAGACAAGTTCTGTTATAGGCACTTAAAATGCTGGTATATTACCTGTTATATATTTTTATGACAAAAGACTTTTTTCCCTTTTTCTTTCTCTTTTCTATTTCAGTACAGGGGTTTAGATACAGCATACTGTAGCTCCCTCACTTAGGAGAGCCAGGGCCCAGGGAAAGCCAACTTATTTGGGGCCCCATAGTGGTGTGGCTGCGGAGGTTGCACTAGCCTTGGCTATGATCACATGTCTAAAATAGGATTTGGATTAAGTGTATCCAGTCTATATATAGCCAAAATGACATTTATTTCAAATGTGGCTGCATACAATCAATGAAAAAAAAAAAGTCATGGTAGCACTTTACTGGAAATTCTCATCTATAATGCACTACAAATACCTTCATAATATTCATAATGCATAATAAACATGACTATAATATGCTTTTTTATACATATTTACAGCCATGTTTATAGTGCTTTTTGAATTATGTGTTATGAATGTGTTCATTGAGTCTTATAGACATAGCATCATAGAAAGTGTTACCAAAGTGATTAACAGAATTATTTAGCTTATCATTATCTAGGCAATTTTCCCTTTTGGATGGGGCCCATAGAAGGTGGGGCCAGTGCAGCAGTTGCACTCTGCTAAAAATGGCTCTGTCTCCATCCATCATGGATGGAGATATGTGTTGGGGTCTGGCCAGGTGCAGCACGAGACAAAGTGGTCACCTTTCCTCTCAGTAACATCCTTACCCATACGAAGTTGGACAATTACCAAACACACCTGCATCATACCAATCCCGCGTATCTTCTGTATCTCTTCGTCATCCTCAGAGAACGTGTTCACTGAGTGAAACATTCAAGTGGCACAGACCCCTGTGACTGGGCAATAATTTTCTCTAGCCAAAGTTTTCACATTAATTTTGTCTAGTGTTCTATTCCTAAATCTCGAACATAAAAATTAATTTCTTTGATTCTGGTTTTTCTATCCAGTCTTATTAAAAGGAGCAACACAAATCCATTGGCAGTTTAACACCTTTGTACCTCACAGTAATGCAGTCACCCTATGAAGCAGTTCTAGGGGTAATGTGGCTGCCAGTGTGATCAGACCATTTCCTTTAACAGAAATGAGAAGAGATTACGTCTTAATATTGCACAATGGTTGCTGAAGACATCCTGCAGTTGTTAGATGTAATGCTCAGGAACTTAAGGCTGCACAGAGCTGTGCAGCTGTAGAATATACACATAAAACCTGAGTATTAATAAGTAACTAGTTCAATAAAAACAAATGAAGTTCACAAACTAGCTTCCAGTACTTGTATTCCTTTGCAATGTGAAGTGGCATTCGAAACCCATGTGGTGTCCTAGACGAGCATCACCGCTGGCGCCAAGCTGCAGTGAAATCAGTGAGATGGATTGGGGGGAAAAAACAGAGTAAAAGATGTCGACTGGTTTGGTGCCGGTTGCTAAATCGGTACCCCGTCTGAGGACACCACCCCAGGCTACATGAATATCGGATATGTGAATGAATTCAAATGCATGAGCAGAATTTATAAATTTACTGCGAATGCTCATAGGGTAATTACAAGATGGCTGTTACTTGACTAGGCTTGACTCCCACCATATAGGAAAGGGTGTGATGAACTTCATCTTCACTTCCTGTTATTGTCAAGTTTCACTTCTTCCAAATATCATGTTTCACTTCTTTTAGTTAGGTCAGTTTCACATATTTGTTCACATTGTTCCACCTGCAAGATTCATTGATTCATGTGTTTTATGTTTATTTTGAAAAGTTAATGTATAAACTTCCATTGTAAATACAACTAGGTTGTGACATCTTCATCTTTGACATTGAAAATGGTAAGTGTATTTTTGTTATGACAAAAGATTGAATGTTTCTTAAATATATTGCATGACGTATTATTATATTATATCCTCCCAAGTCTAAAAAATATTGCAACTTATTGAAGTGTATATATCATGTTATATCTTACCAATTCTGGTACTTACTAAATACACTGTTAGATAAAACGGTTCTATACAGCACTCAAAGGGGTTCTATAACTTGCTTCATATATGGCATTCAAGATGGTTCCAAATAGAACCTTTTTTGTGAGGCACCTTTAAAGAACCATATCGTTTCCTTTGCTACCATACTGATAAGATTCCATATAGTACCTCAAGGTGCTATCTTCAGAAAGTAAGCAAGATATATTTATTAATTCATAATTTAATAAATACAATCAATTTATATTTATATATGGTATGTATATTTTATGAAGATTTAATGTTGAAAATAAGTTTGTCAAGTAGCAAGGACAAAAATATTTTTTTTTTTTAGCTTTATGTTTTTGGGTCTTAAGTTTTATTAAAAGCATTTTATTAACAAACAAATTCAACTTAGATTTCCAAAACAGCATTTGTAAACTTTTAGTTAATAACTAGGTTGTAATGCCTTCAATATTGTGATAAATGTGTATGAACAAACACAGGTAAATTGGAATACAGGTACCTTAAAGCAATTTCATAAATGGTCTGTAATAGCAACAAGCTAATTTTGAAAAGAAGTGATTACATTGAAGCATAATTTTTACGTATTACTAGAAATTACAAACTATGGTATAAAATAATAGGTAACGTTTTACATTAACTGCACCTTCATAATGCATTCATTATACAGTACATACACAGAACATTCAGTGCACTTTAATAATGGATTCATAGAACATTCATAAGCAGCATGGAAGTATACATCCTAACATATTTTAACAGCTTTGATATGCATTAATAACAAACATTATAATCGTATAATGATATAATGTTTGTTATTAATGTACATTAAGGCTGCAATGGTATATTAGGTTGTTATGATATACTATGCTGCTTATGAATGTTCTAAGAATGCATTATGAATCCATTATGAAGGTGCTGTGAATGTTCTATGAATGCATTATGAAGGAATTATGAAAGTACAATTAATGTAAAGCGTTAATCCTATTGTAATTACAACACTGTTATCATAAATCCAGAATGTGTGGAATGCCATGTGGAGACACAAAGCTGTATAAAAGCTGTTTAATAGCTTTCAAGGTCAGTGTGCATTCAACCTGAAAAAGTAACGCTGCATAAAATTTCTGTGTGTGTGGCTGCTCTGAAGGATCAAACACCAAAAATAAAGTAAACAGCAAACAATACAGGGTTAACCTTTGCCTCCATTATGGTTTCTCCGTCTGTCTGAATTGTGAATTTTTTTAAAAAAAGTGTTGGGGGTAAGACTAACCAGCAAATATAGGCCTAATCATTTTCCTGGCATCCTCTCACATATCACTGTACTCAATATATAGTCAACAAGATACTTTGGTTTCCTTGCTTATCCTGCTTACTTTAATTTGATTATCAAACATTTTTTTTCACAATAGTTCTACTATAAAGCAAAATGAAAGTCCCTACAGACCATATATTCCATACTATACTTAGGGGGGAAAATGAGCTTCTAACCTAGTCAATGCAGCAGATGCTCTCTCTTTGAATCGCTGAGGCAGCAGCAGATTCCCTGCACATTTCTCCCAGTCTAAGAAAAGACAGAAAACTGAAAGAAAATCACCAACACTTTATTTAAAGGGGCACAAATAATGTAGTAGTACACTCTAACTCAATATATTAATTAACCAGAAATTACTTCTTACCTACTGGTATCATGCATGTTCATCATTAATCAATCACAACGGTCCATATATTCTATGCAGTTACTATATTTGTTCATGATTAGTACTTGAGTAGTAACTGAGTTAGTAAGCCCCTTCGAGTAAAGTGTTACCACAAAATCATTTAGGACTGACTTTGGTATGTGCTGTTCAGTCCTCCTCTGCTGCACATCTCTCTATGCATTTGGAGAAGGCGAGCTGTTTGACCTGGCGCTGCATGCACACCGAACTACAATTAGTAAATAATGTTGTTCTGCGAAACGTCGCAAAGAAATGTCCACTATTTTTAACTTGGGCGACGTATTCGCTGAGAAGCGAACTTCACAAGAAGCATTAAAACAAGCAGTCAAGCTGACAAGCAGCAGAAGTGCTGATGAGCTAATAACATTAGTTAGCTATGAACTTACCTGCAAATATTACGGTTTGTGTTAGCTAACCTTAGCGACAAAGTTTAAGGATTGTTATGGCTTGTTTTCCGGACGTGTTTGGTGATGCCAAGAACAGTGTTATGGATCCGGACGGATTTGGCGTGTGGCCAAGGCATGATACAGCCAGATAGAAGGTGGACGACTCACTGGGGGCTTCACAAGACAACAAAGTTTTATTGAAACAAAACTGAAAATACTACAAACAAAAACAGATCTCGAGGGGTCAGAACTAAAAGGGATAAGCAGAGACTAATTTACAAATAGGGTCAGGGAAACAAAGGGTAGGCAAGCAGGTTACAAATAACAGAACATCCAAAATTCACGGACATCCAACAATATACATTTCATACAATGACCCACTGGGGATATAAACTCAGGCAGGAACTTAAATACAAAAATTGAACAGGGTAACGACAAGCGGGAGTGAGACAGACAACCAATCCGGGAGGGTGCAGGGCAGCGAGCAATCAGGCAAACACACAAGGGCAGGCACAAGAACAGGCAACAGGTGGAACTAATAATTACTCAGAATCTAAAACAGGGAAACTAAGAACTGACAAAGAAATCTAACACAGGGAATAAGAAAGACAGATAAAGCACAAAGCAAAATCCCAAAACAGAAAACAAACCACAAAATCACAGGAGCTAGAAAAACTGATGAAACTAATGGCTAGGGAACAAAATACAAAAACAGAGGCGGGATTCAAACATGTGACAGAGGGGTTAAAAGGCTCCTTACAGTGGTATGAGGAACCACTAAGTGTTCAGAAAGAACAATTAAAACTTTTTATTTTTATTTTTAACAGTGTACACTTGTATTTGTGGGCATAAAATGTGCACAGCTCAATGGAAGGTTGGGATCATTCTTAAGTTTCTTTCGATCTGTAAAAACAGAAATGAATAGTATGATTTTGCTGTCACAATACAATCAAAATTTTGGAAGCATGTCATTGCACATCTTAAAACTGTCATTTTATCAATTTCAGGGTAAATCTGTACATATACTAGGGGTGTAATTGTACAGTTTTTCCATGGTTCAGTATGTGTCAGTTTTTGGACCACAGTAATGGTATGGTTTCGGTATCTTTATATTTAAGAAGAAAATAAATACACATTACCCTGTAATTAAACAATGAACTCTTTATTTTTCCATATAGCTCCTTTCCATTCAGAAAAATGGCAGCATGAGTAACTAGGACTAGGAACTTAGGTTCTGACTCTACTGTATGAAATCAAGGAGAGAAAAACATCCAAATTAAAAATGTTCCTTAACTATGATAACTGTAGGTGCTTTGTCTTTTCCATTTTAAATTAGCAGTGCACATAGTATGTACACTACCTGTACAGGCAATATTAAATTAAAAAATAATAAATTAACATCTAGTGAGCTACTTGTCTAAGCATTCTGTGTTAGCATTCTCTCTAAACTTTGACAGCCTCAAAGTGATTTGCCTTCTCTGTTTTATAGAAACATGGTACATACTTGTATAGGCAATATTAAATGTAAAAATAAAACAATGTGTAAAATCAAGTTGGCATCCTAATGAGATTTCTTTATGGTGCGGTTCTTTGTAAAAAGATAAGCAAGTCAACACTCTCTGAAACAGGGAGACTGCCCAACCTTATCTTTTATAAGAAAAATAATTTTATTTGACAAGAATATATGCAAAGTTAAGCATATCACTGTTAAAAAGTAACCACAGGCAATCGCAGCACAGTAAGTGTAGACAGATAGTAATCAGTATTTCAAATTCCACAAGTGAGCGCAGAATGTTTTTGATGCAGTTACCCTACATATAGGGGGCAAAAGACATATTGTGATGAGTGCTGCCCCCCACCTCACATTACGTCAGGCAGTTGTCGACAGTGGGTGGGATCGCCGCTCCAGAAATGTCGTATGGCTGAATTGACGTCGATACATTAGAAGTACGCAACTAGCTTTAGCCAGGAGGCAGAAAATTTACGCCATCTGCTGTTGTATAGTGACACTTAAATTCTAGCCTTCGAAAATAAGACAACTTGTTTTTATATGTATTTTTTTGGGGAAAAAAACACTGGCTTATATTCGTGCCAGTAGGTATAGGAAAATGAATCGTGTGTATATTGCGACGTCAGGGTCATAGCAAACGGTTTGATAATATACGACTGCCATTACACCCCTAATGTATACAAAATCTGTGTATGTTGCATTCCTGTATGATTCATCTCTAAACTTATATTCTTTCCAGGTCATCTCATGGAAGAATCTTTTTCTGCTCTACCTTTGCAACTGGCTTACAGCAGTCAGGAGCAGAAATCCATTTTTTTTTCCTTGTGAAAATGATACCCTTTCAACAATCCTTGATTGTCAAAAGAGGGGCCTAACGAATGTTCCCACAATTAAATCTGTCTCTGTGCTCTCCATAAACCTGGAAGGAAATAAAATCCAGACAGTGAAGAGCAATGCACTTGCTGGAGTTCCGAATCTTCAGAATTTTAGCATCATGTGGAATTGCCCTCCAGGTAAGCTGAAGGGTCCAGGAACTCGTTCCTGCAAACTGGATATTGCACCTGATGCCTTTGTTCATTTGAAGAACCTTAGTCATCTTTTTCTGGGTGGAAACAGTTTGTTATCTATCCCACGTCTGCCTGGTGGTCTGAAAGTCCTCGGTCTTGAATCAAGTAATATATACAGAATTAACACACCCTTGGGGACCCCGCAACTCAAGATGCTGCTCTTGTTCAAAAACTGTTACTATCGTAACCCCTGCAACCAAACATTCTATATTAATGAATCTGTATGGCAAGAACTGCGGGAGCTCACAAATCTCACTCTGGGATTTAACAATATCACCGCGGTTCCCAAGGGCCTTCCTCAGAACTTGACCAGCCTAGATCTAAGAGAAAACAAGATCAGTCATATTGATGAGATTGCATTTGCCAATCTGACAAGACTCACGTACTTGAATCTGGAATGGAATTGCCAGCGTTGTGATCATGCGGCACAACCATGCTTTCCCTGCTCAAACAACTCTGCCATAAATTTACATCCCAAGGCATTCCAAAACTTGAGCAAGATTACCCACCTGATCCTTAGAGGAAATTCACTAAAGGACTTGCCTGAAGGGCTGTTCCAAGGACTACAAAGACTTACCTATCTGGACCTTTCTGACAATCTGCTGGCCTACAGCATCAGAAATGACTCTTTCTTCAGAGACCTGAAAAAAGTCAAGTTACTCAACTTGATTTACAACTATGAACCTCTGAAAACTTTCGATGGCCTCATATTGTCGCCGTATTTCAGTGAAATGACTTCCCTGGAAGAATTACTCATCAGTGGGTATTTTTTCCATAAATTGACTACACAGAGTTTAAGTCCTTTAAGGAACCTCCCAAAACTTCAAAATTTGGATTTACGTATGAACTTTATAAATGAATGCCAGCTTAGTATATTCAGTAACATAACCTCTTTGAAAAAAGTTGTTCTCTCACAGAACATACTGGAATTTCCATATTGTTCACCTAACACCAATCAATTTACTTTCCAAAACCAAAATCGATTAACTGACAAAGTAATCATTACTCCAGAGGCATTAAACTCTGAAGGCCAATATCTGGAATCAAATGAAAAATATTATCAAAGCATGCTGGATTTTCAAAAACAGTACTGCCGTGGAAAACTGTTTTTTGACTTGTCACAAAACAACATTTTGACTCTCCAGGAAAACATTTTTCAAGGAATGGACACAGTAGTATGTTTAGATTTGTCACTTAATTATTTGAGCCAGTCACTGAATGGGAAGCAATTTCAACACCTGAGCAACTTAGAATACCTTAACATGGCTCACAATAGGATTGATATGTATTACGATGGTGCTTTTAAGGAACTAAGAAAAACACTTAAAGTGCTTGATTTGTCTAGTAATGAATTTCACTTTCGCATGAAGGGCATGGGCCATCGCTTTGAATTTATTGAAAACCTGACATCACTGAAGGTTCTGAGCCTGTCACAGAACAGCATTGGAATTCGCATTTCTGTGGCACTCCAGAGCTCCTCCCTCAGGTATCTTTTCTTTTCGGGCAATCATTTGGATATAATGTGGGACATGGCGGGTGACCAGTATCTTCGTTTCTTTCAGAACCTTACAAATCTTGCATACTTAGACATTTCCAGAAATCACCTGAAATCTTTTAAACCAGAAGCCTTTTGTAACCTTCCAAAAACACTGGAAGTTCTAAAGGTTAACAATAACAAACTAATATACTTTCCTTGGCACAATCTTACAGTTTTAAACCAACTTCGTTGCCTAAACATCAGTGGCAACTTCCTAAGCGAGCTACCTAATCAACCCATTAAATTTGGGCATAATTTAACTGTTTTAGACCTAAGCTACAACCAGATTCGATGGCTCCCAGAGAGTTTTTTCCACGAGGCCAGCTCTCTTATGTGCCTTCTGTTGAATCATAATAAGCTTAAATTTCTTAATGCCCAGTGCTTCCCGTCTCCGTTGACTGTATCTCTTCATAAATTGACCCTTCATGACAATCCATTTATGTGCAGCTGTGATACTTCATGGTTGATGGATTTCTTAGTAAGCAGTACCATTCAAATACCTTACCTGACCACTGGCATTAGGTGTGGTTTTCCAGAGTCTCAGAATGAAAAGCTTGTGCTGTCAATGGACTCCCGCTCATGTCAGGAGATCTATGGAAGTGTAGGATTTATCATTACCTCCTTCTTGACCATTATTTTTACTTTGGTTCCTCTGCTCAAGAAGCTTTATGGTTGGGACCTTTGGTATGGTATACAGATATTTTGGGCTCAACATAAAGGGTACTCTCAGTTACTGGGAAAACAAGGTCAGCATGATGCCTTTATTGTTTTTGATACTCTTAATGCTGCTGTTACAGACTGGGTCTACAATGAGTTAATAGTTAATCTGGAGAACCAAGGAAGGCAGAGATTTAGTCTCTGTCTGGAGGAAAGAGATTGGGTCCCAGGAATTTCATGTATAGAAAATCTCCATAATGCTGTTTATAGCAGTAAAAAGACCGTGTTTGTGCTGACTAGTACAGGCTCAGTCAGTGGCATAGCAAGGCAAGCCTTCATTATGGTCCAGCAACGTCTTCTGGATGAAAAGATTGATACAATTGTACTGGTTCTTCTGGATGAGGTCTTTCCAAAGTCAAAATATCTTCAAATGAGAAAAATGCTCTGCAGAAAGTCAGTCCTCTCTTGGCCAAGAAACCCCCGTGCTCATCAGCATTTCTGGAACAATATGAGAGCAACATTGGCTTCTGATAACTGTCGTTCCTACAATTGTCATATAAGTGAGAGTCTGTTGTCCAATGGTTTGATATAGTAGTCATATGTGAAAATTTGTTCACATTCATGATAGGAATAGTGTTCAAATAACATATTTATGTAGAATGTTTTAGTAAAAAATGCTATTTGATGGTGATTCAGTGGGTAACACTTTTGTTTCTAGCAGGGTTGGGGCCATTCCGGAATGCATTGATCAATTCCAGCCCAAATCAGGAAATGGAACTGGAGTTGGTACTTAAATCTCCCTGAAATTCAAATTCAACTCCAATTCTGTTCCCCGTAGTTTTTTTTTCCAATCACAGCTCCAGTTCCATTTCCTGATTTGGACTGGAATTGATCAATGCATTCCGGAATGGCCCCAACCCTGGTTTCTAGGGTTGTGTATTTGTGTCCCTCTTCTGTATGTTTGGAATTTGCAGGTCCTCCTTGTGTTGTGTGTATTTCTTCCCAAAAGCAATTGACAGATGCAACTGAATGATTTGGTGTCTCTATGTTTTTAATAGTGTGTGATTCTGTGTGCCCTGTGATGGATAAAAGGTTGAAGGAACAAGTGGAAAAAATTGTATTGGAATGCTCAGAATGTTACATTTGTATTTATGCTGTTGTCCAGGTTTTATTAGCCTCACTGAATGTCTTTATATTGTGGGAGGGAGCTGGAGAACCCAGAAGTAACACACACATTCAGCCAGGAGAACAAACTCCACCCACATAAATTCAGAGAAAGGGATTCAAAAGAGGGTTTGTGGCAACTTTGTCACCCACACAGAAATCATACCACTAAAGTGTTTCAACTTCATTAACTGTATATTATTTGTGATCATAACTAACATGAACATAATGTGTAAGACATACAATTTTATTTTATGCTGGCATGGATTCTGGAATTATGACTGATAAAAAAAATGATTACGCCTGCTTAGCTGTGGTGCAACTGTTTCCTCTCTCTGTACATCCCACCAAAGAGGCTCAGTGCTCTGCCTATTAGAAAACTGGACATTTACAGGCGTTGACATAGAAAATGTAAACTAAAAATGTGAATTTTGCATTCATTTTTCGTATGCTTTATCCAGTCTTATGCTAAGTATTGCAGTTGTAATTGATCAAAAAATATACAGTCGCCCCTCCAGATCACCGAATTTGACATTCAAGGTTTCGGTTATAAGTGATTTGGCCCTGAATATTTAAATGGGAATATTTTCAAGCTTGCTGAATAATCCCAAAAACACGCAGATGGCCCGTAAGCCAAAAACACTACTGAAAATGATTTGAATTACATAAAATTATAGAATATATAAATATTAGTATATAATAATTGTGGAGAGTGCTGTATTTTTAATATTAAAAGTCTTGGCTTTGATACCCTGTGCATCTTTGTCTCAGCAATAGCGATGGGAAGTTCGTTTCAAGTTACAGAACTGATTCTACCAGACTATTAGTTTAACTGAATCAATTCAAAGAATCAGTTGGGGGGGGGATATATACAGTTGAGTGCAAAAGTTTGTATTCCCTCAGTTTGAAATGCCAAAATTAAACCTAAGAAATGTATTTTCATCAACAAAATATTTTTAATGCACAAGTTTTTACAAAGGCTCCTTCAACAACAAAAGTAACAAAAATGGCCAAAAAGTAAAAATTAAAAAGAAAGTGATAGTGAAATAATGAAAATAATAAGTCCCCTGTTCTCTAATACTTTATACGTACTCCCTTTGCTTTTATAACCTCTTCCAACCTCTTTGTGTAACCTCTGAGAAACTTCTGTATCCTCTCAGGTTTTATTTTAGACCATTCTTCCTGGCATATTTGTTCCAAGTGTCCCAGATTCCTTGGTTGTCTATTATGCACGGCCTTCTTCAAATCTATCCACAGGTTTTCTATTATATATGAATCTGGAGACTGGGATGGCCATGGAAAAACTTTCACCTTATTCTTCTTAAACCATTCCTGAGTTGACTTTGCTTTGTGCTATGGATCTTTGTCTTCTTGTAGGATCCACTCACAACTATGACATGCAGGTCTAATTGAACACACCTGGTGCAACTCATCACCACTAAACGCTGACAGTGCTTTTAAAGATACCCAATTTTATATATTTCATTTACAGGTTTTATTACAGGGGATATAAACTTTTGAGCTTTCCATTAAAGATGAATTTGGACTAAACAATTAAAGGTTTTCAGAGAAAAAACATATAAAAATTACTATGGAAGAATATTTTGAAAACAAACTCTAAATTAAAGGTAGATTTTTTTTTTATTATTCAACCTGGGTCTAAGAGTGATGCAAACTTTTGCACTCAACTGTGTTGCTGCACTTCCTCCAGTTACCTTTATTAATAAGTTTTTAATAAAATATTTTTCATTAATCTCAGAGTCTTGTGATAATTCATTTACCTCAATACACTTTAGGTCCAGTTAAGATAGAAAAAAAAGTCTACAAATGAACAGTCAGTCTCGAAGAGCCTGATAAAATCTCAGGTACCTTAAGAAATTTAGAAACATATAATGTAAAATGTTTTAACTACGGGATATTTACAGTGCCAGAGCTCCAAAGTCAGGGGCGTAGGTTTCATATCAACACTGGCCGGGACTGGTGTATGGGGGTCAGAGGTGTGATGTCACCTCTGACCCCCATTCTGTAGTCGCGTTGTACACAGTTTGTTTTATTTCGTAAAGTATTGCTGTTATAGTAACAATATATAAAGTGAAATTTATCCTTCCATTTTAGTGTTATCCATCCTCACTAATATGGTAGTTTAAGTGCGTTTAAGTAAGTCACGCATTACGTACGCTAAATTTGCGGAAATCATTAAAATTATCCACAATTTGCGAAACTGTCAGGCCATTCATTATGGAAAAATGACCTCATGTCAGGGTCCACTATGACGCTTCTGTCACTCCTCTGCACTCTGTCTCTCTCAGAAACACATCCTAACTTTCCCGAAAGAAACACAACACACATAAAATAGCGACTAGAAGATATTGGGGACATTCTCAGTAAGTGGATTACTCCTTTAAAAATTTTTGACGATTTTTTTCCTGGATCTGTCGGTTCTTCAAAACTCTTGCTGGATGTGTTGTTATAGCAACATATCCTAATCGTCAAACCTGCTCAAAGCAGTGGCCTGTACTATGAAGGGGGTTACTGGCTTATCGGGGTAACTTGTCGGATTTAAAAATAAATGAACGAATATCGAGTCCATTTAAACTGTGGTACCTTAAATCCAACAAGTTACCCCGATAAACCAGTAACCCTGCTTTGTAGTACAGGCCACCGGTTTGTTCTGTGTAAACAAGGATTAGCTCGCACACGTAATCAGTGTCCATGCGTGGAAAATCAGTCATGGCCTCGCCGTTCCTGGAGGAGTGACCGATTGCAGTCGGAGCACAAATAATACGAAGAGAGTTCTAAATCGAGAGGGTTTTGTGCGATCGGCAAGATCCTTTATTGTTTACAGATGACATTCTTTTCGAGAGATACCGCTTCAGCCGAGATGGAATATTATACCTTAACAATTTATTAGCGCCTCATATTACAAGTCAAACTAGGTGAAGTCGGGCTCTCACAACCACACAGACAGTGTGCATCGCCTTAAGATTTTTTGCAGTGTGCTTTTTTGTACACTGTAGGCGGATGCGGAAAATCTGTTGAAGAGTGCAGTTTGCCAGGCAATTCGTAAGGTCTGTTTAGCCCTGAAATATATATGCTCCGGGTTCCTGGACACCTGCGTGTGCAAACAATTAAAGAGGCGTTTTATGCCATTGGAAGTAATATATAGGCAAACAAACTACAGTCCTATAACGAATTTCAAAATCGGACTAATATTCTCATCATCCAGGATTTCCAAATGTGATTGGGGCACTGGATTGTACCCAGATCTGAATCAAGGCCCCATTAGGTCCAAACGAACCAGACTATGTGAATAGAAAAGGCTTCCACAGTATTAACGTACAGGTATTGTAACCTATAATATAATGCCAATAGGCATGTTGACATACAGCAAAGTTGTTTTACACAATGTAAATTCTCAGGTGATCTGTGATGCATTGTACATTATTTCAGATGTGGAAGCTAAATGGCCAGGGTCTGTTCACGACTCCAGAATATTTAGGGAGTCACACCTTGAACACTTGAACAAGGTAATACTGATACATATTTACAAATCATGGTGAAGCGTGCATTGTAATCACGACTGTTACCTATTCCACGGGTTATCATGATGGAATCCTGGCTGGGGATAGGGGATATGCCTGTAGACATTTTTAATGACACCATTCCCTAAGTATTTCTATCTGCACCTTAATTTTGGTCCTCCTCAGTTCATTAAATTGTCCTGCTGGATTTTCCTCATTTTCAGCTTTTGATATGTGATTTTCTCTTGAAGGTATTTCTTGTACAGAACATGTACATTTTTCTGCAAATGAAAATCCGAATGTGATGGCAGGCGAGCAGAGAGGAGGCAGACCCCGTAATGCGGGAGAATAAACGTTTATTCGGAATGCCGGGTGCAAACAAAACCAAGGGGGAGATCCAAAAGCGAGGTCGTGTCGGAAGCAGGGGTTCAGTAGCTGGTGAAGTCAGTCCTACAAACAGGCACGGGACGAGACGGTGGGTCAGGAGCGCAGGAGAGGGCAGGTAGGCAGGCAGGGCAGGACGCAGCAGGCAGGGCAAGCGGGGAAGACAAAAGACAGAGAAATGCTCGGTATTGTTCCTAATCATGGGAACAATACTTCGCAATGATAGCGAAGGTTCATACGCTTTAAGAAGCGGAGTGATTATTGGGGAATTGCCTGCAGCTGTCCTGTCCTGCCCGTGTGGGCGTGACACCGAAGACAAATGCCTTAGGATTCTCTCTGCACTGTATACACAGAATAGCATTTTGAATCTTTTTCCTACTTTACAAAGTACAAAACACGGCTCACTCAACCTCACCATCTCCTTTTTTGAATCGTGTTCCAGAAGGGACATGTGTGCTGGCACTGGGCTCCTGTACAGAAGTTACATCATCATTAGAACTGATTGCTCAGAGTGGAATTTGTTCAAACATTATTTGAAACATTTACCTCTTCCCCTGATGAATGGTCAGACACTGTACTTCATCACTACATCACATGAGTCAACGTCTCGTTGGTCAGACCAGGGGCGTCCGAAGCATTTTGAATGTGGGGGGACACACTGGCATAAAACTAATATTTTATGTTAAATGTGGGGGGGTCCAAACAAATAATTATGAAATGTGAGGGGGACACGTCCCCCTCAGATTTAATGGCAGTGACACCCATGGGTCAGACACAGGTTCAGGGGTTATAACATTCCCTGCAACTGACCCATCAAAGAAAAAAAAATAAAATAAAAAATAACCACCCAGGGAAAAAAAATGTAACATGTACCACATGTCCTCTGTGAACGCACCTATGGCACCCATGGAGCACAAATATACATTTACATTTACAGCATTTGGCAGACGCCCTTAGCCAGAGCGACTTACATACTGTAAGTGCTTTAAGACTCTACAATGAATTTCCCGATACTAGCTCAATAAAACCAAGGCTATGAATACCATCGATCTAATACTCTGTTGGAAAAGTGCATTTTTATTTATTTTTTTTTAAAGGAATGCCAGAAAGTATAATGCCAGAAGTGCTAATTCAGATATTTCTGGAAAAGGTGTGTTTTAAGTCGTCTTTTGAAGACATTCAGTGACTCAGCTGTTCGGACGTCTAGGGGGAGTTCGTTCCACCAACTTGGTGCCAGAACAGAGAAGAGCCGGGAGGTGTGTCTTCCTTGTGCCTTGAGGGGCGGTGGGACCATGCAATATATGCAATGCTCATCCTGTACCTGAAATGATGTGACCGTTGCTGCATCCTGACCAAATTTTCTGGAGATGTTCATGACATTATGATCTAGCTTTAGTAAAATACCGATCAATTTTTAAATATACGTTTTTTTGTTATTGAATTTTTAACATTTTAATTGGTTATTACATAGTAATTATTCATATGGGGATGGAATATTATTTGTTCAATTTATAGAACTGGACAGTAACTTTAAAGCAATACAAGGACCACTTCTGTGCAGCTTACATTAAGGTAAATATAGCCAGTCAAAGTCATAGCCACCCCCCCCCCCCCAAAAAAAAGTTTCAACTTTGTTCGCTTAAATCTCCCTCAATATTGATCCCAGACTCACCCAATTTCAGTTTCATCAGTTACTCATGTGACCAAATCATCATGCCAAGTTTCGTTAAAATCCGAAAGTGTGATGATTTGACATGGAATGACCCATTTTGCCCCCCAAAAAGATGACTGCACTATAGAGGTACAGTACAAGCAAACTCCCTACTCAGAATAGCTTGCATACCTCTGCCCTGTACTGTATATACAGTAATGCTTCCTTTTCAGGATTTATTCAGTCTATTCTTCCTTTATGTACTTTAATAATGTAGTCTTTACTTTTTGTCACTTTTAACTACACAGTCCCTGGAGAGTAGGGCATGTTTTTTGCATGTTGCATTGTATGACAGTGCAAATGATTTGTTATTGATCTTGAATTTAAGCCTCCGCAGGATCCCACTTTGAATGTGATGCAAAACATATTAGAAAAAGGTTGTTGTTACAGGTTTTCTGGTTTGTGAGTTTGACCCGTTAATCATTTGTTTGCCCTGTTCACTGTTCTGGACATATTTTTGGTTACTGATTGGTTGCTATATACCCCGTTAACACCCATTCCCCATACTTTTGACTGTACAATACCTGCATGGCTGCTGTTTACACTAACCTTCCAATTAACATTATGGTCTGATGGTTTGCCCATTAACCTTTAGTTTTTGTGTTATGAAAGTTAGTTTTTGTGTTATGAAGATGTCAAACATCAATATGTATGTTTGGATCATGGGCTATGTATGTACAGTATATACCTACAGTTTCTAAGTTTTTTTCTCTGGTTAAAATGCTCTGGGCTACAAAAGACAATGACCAGGTGGAAGCAGTTGTTGGACCATACAAACTATATGATTCTTCTTTCCGTTCACTGTATGGGAAGGAGTAGCTGGCTGATGTAAGAGACTACACTGTGTGAAATGCATCAGAAATTAAAATCTTAGATTGCTTTGTGATTTCTTTTTTCTTTTCTGCAATGCAGGTTATTGATGCATACCTGCATCATCTCATTGAAAGGCAGCAGGCAAGTAGGAATTATATTTGTCTGTGTTAGATGTTTCTTGCATTGTAATTTTCCATTTAATTTTTTTTATTGTTTTAAATAAGCACCTGTTTGCCACATCTGTGCCTTCAGGCAGAGTTTTCTAGGCAATTCCAGAGACTTGGAAAGGTTATTTACTTGACGCAATTACCAGCTAAGCACATC